AGGCTGTTTGCCTCTCTTGTTCTTCAGACCCGCGTTGTAGCGGACTCCGTCGGTGGACTCCATCGCTTTTGCGAATCGTTTGGCCAAGCGTTGACGTTGCCTTTGGCGGGCTCTCTTTGAGAGAGTCACCGCTCCTTTGGTGACGGAGGAATTGGTTGGAACCAGCTTGATCTGGTTGGAGATTGGTGGAGCCTCATCTGACGCAACTTCGGCGTCAATCGAGATGAGGTCGTCGTTGGTAGCTTCAACTTCTTCGTACCAACGCACCTTTCTGTTGGAAGAGAACTTGGACTTCTTGGACTTGCGGGGGGAGGTTGATCTAGACGAGGATGAAAGGTATTCCTCGAACTTGGTCTGATCGAACTCGTATTCGACCTCCTCCACGACTGGGATCAAGATCCGCGGCTGCGACGCTCCGATCTCGGCAGCGAGATCGGTGGCTCCCACTGTGGTCGCCAGATTGTTCGCTGGAAAATTCGTGTCTTTCTTTGTTATTGATTCCATTGTCATCTTGAGTTACAACTTTTTGAGTTACAAAAGATCCGGTCTTTTTATAAGATCCGGTTACAACGAAAATCAAATAAAAATAAACAAAGATTACAACTTTTCTCCTTTTGTGTCGAACGAATCGCGAGCTCCTGTTTTGCGGTCGCTCGCTTTGTGGGTTCTTTGCCTGCGCCGGGGTTGTTTGCCGTGGACCACCGCGCGATCTAGATCCGGTCGGATCTACGCAGTACAACGGGTATTATTTCACCAAGGAAATAATAGCCGGGGAGGATTGTTTCACCAAGGAAACAATCGTCCAAGTCTCGGGATCTAAGACCAAGCTTAGATCCGGAGTGTAGCAACGTAGATCTGAGATCCGATCCTCTCGAACACCTGCCTTATTTGACGTTGATGATCGCCGAGCACCAGATCTGAAGGAGTGAGTCCCCGAAGTCCCAAAGTTTCAATCTTTTTTAAGTTCCGAGTCTCCAATCCAGCAGGGCTTCGCCTCTCTCCAAAATTTCCAACCTTCTCAAATGACAAGGGGGTGGCCTATTTATAGGCTCTCAGGACAGTGCCCGCAAAAAGAGAAACGTCGGCCACCGTCGGCCACTGTCGGCCACCTCGAGGTGGCCGGCACTGTGCCGAGCCACGAGTTGGAGTCCGAAACCAATCTTGATTCGATCGTCATTCGTCCGAGTATGCCTTTGGTTGGATGACTTGTTGACTCTTCGAACACTTGGCTTGATCCCGCACGTGTATGGATGCATTCCATCGCTTGATGCGATTCGTCGATCTCGTCGCCTCGTTGGTTCGTCGGTTTGTGCCGAGCTGAGTTAAGGGACCTATAAGCAATTTTATATGCCTACAGAAATATTAATTATAATATATGTAGCAACCGCATTACATTATTTGAATTTTTATTCCTGTGTGTGAATGTAATACCCCAACCATTGAGAGGGTGATGTGATTAGTATTGATAGATTTGATCGAGTACTCATACC